TTGGCTGGGTTTGCTGCACCTCGTGCTGGGGTGCGGGGGGGTCTGCAAAGCGTATTTTACTGGTACCGTATCTAGAGAGACATCTGAAGATCATACCTACAGATAATGGCTTCCTTTCTGCTTCAGGAAAGATGCAAATGAATTTGAGTGTTGGCCATTTACATTAAAGGATTGAAAAAAAAACCACAATACACTCTGTAATATAATTTTTCCTAACCAAAGTAGGTCTTGAAAGGAGCCCTGTGTCTGCTTAGCACATGGGCACCCGAGGGATCAACCCAGTGGTTGGGCCTCATGGCTTCATCTCTCGACTCTGTGTTATTATTACCAAATGATTCCTAACCCCTTGAAGCTCAGGGGTTGTCACCTCTGTTCAGATTTCTTACCCAAAGACAAACGGCTTTAGAAGTGTACCAGCTCAATCACACGTGGGCAGGCTCTGCCAAAATTAATGAGCACAGGGCTCGTTAGCATGGTGGGGAAAATACAAATTGTTTATCAATAAATACAAATTATAATGTAATACAAATTATGTATTAGTTGTTTATCGAGTGGTATTTGTTATTCTGTAGTGTTCTGTGGCCTTTTTCCCCATCCCCTTGATGCTGTGATGTCTGTTCATCACATAACAATTTTTTACAGCTCAAAGGACCTCCACTGGAACAGGCCATATGGTTAGTGGAGGTCTCCAAAATAATGCATTTACTTGCTGATTAGCTTTTAGGAAAATCTGTGCATATTTAGGCTTAAAGAACTGTTGTGTTGTACTGTGTGGTACAGTCTCCACTCTTATCTCATCTACTCTCTGCTTTCTTCCTGCGGTTTCCTTGGATTTACTGAAACATTTCTTTTCCTGTAGGGGTCAGCAAACCCCATCCCAAAACAGATCCCCTAATGTCAATAGAATAAAAGGGTTTCAGCAAAACATTACATGAAGTGGCTACACAGCACTTGTGTAGATGCCCAAAGCTCTGCAGCAGCAAGTGGTTGAGAGAGCAGATCATGTTTGCATATCAAATAACTTCAAGTCTCCTTAGTACATACCTCTACTAACATTATTAGTAAATAAATCTTTGAAGTTAGGTTACCTGGGTTATTGAAATATTAGTTGTTAATGTCAAAATTTGATCGGAAAGTAAACTTCTGCCTGTCACGTGTGGGGGAGTTATTTTAAATGTAGTTGATTGTATTCAAATAGTACATAGTTTCCTTTCACCATATAATTACTTCATTTTCCATGAGCTTGTGTGCTTACATACAACCTTTCTTTACTAGCGTTTCCCTTTTTACAGGAGAAATCCTCTCGCTTGTCAGCAGCTTTATTTGGTGAGGATTGTGAAATCAGCCCTGACCAGCTGTATGAGTTGTTAAAGTATGCAGCTCTGGGAAAGTGCCACCATGCAGCACAGCCCAGGTATAACACATTCGTATTTGGGAATCACCTCTGTCTTGTGTCCTCATGTGTTGTGAACCTAAGGGCATATTGGCCATGCTGGTTTTGGAATCTTTGCAATGCAGTTACCATAATGACAGCCTGTGGTGTGTAGGGGCAGTTGTTACACTTGGCCAGAGACCAGAATTCCTCTTCTGACAAAAATTCTACCATTTCATAGTTTTGTTTCATGCTGTTATCAAAAGCTAAACAGTTTTGTGGAATGGAAGAAGCTTCACACACTGAGAAATAAAACACGTGTTAAAAATATTAATACAACGCCAAAAAAATATGAACATGTTTGATGGCAGATGTAAATTCCAGAGCGTTTTGGCAAAAACGTTGTAATGACTTAGCCCTTCTTCAGGGTGATGTCTCAGCAGTGGAAGGGAGAGGCTGAGAAGGGCATGTAACCTGGGATAGCAAAAATATGGTGAAATGTAATGAATCCTGAAACTCAAGGCAAAAATGATCCCACTTGAGATTTTTAGGAGTGAATAGAAAATTATTTTGTAAAACTTTTTTTGATGCATTACTGCATCACTGTGGCTGAAGTTACTTGTGCACTCACATGCTGATGAATGCCAGTGAGGTATTAATGTCTTGAAATGGTATTTTGCTGTAATTCATTCTTTCTCTGTCTCCCATATTATGTTTGTTTCGGGAATATGTGGCTATTTGAGATAATCTATAAAGCCTCTCCTCAGTGAAGTCATTTGGCACTTTGCCATTCACTGATTTAAAAGCTGGGCTGGTTCCAAGTTTGTTTTTAAGAGTGCTTGATAAACGTTTTGCTTTGATTTATTTTTTTATTTTTATTTTTAAACTGCAGCTGGTGCCGGATTTATCACCAAAGCCACCTGGCTGGGGTAGTGGTTATTGTTCTACATGAAATGAGCCAACTCCATTTCTACAAATTCTATTTGCAGTTCAAACACCTCAGAAGAGTGTTCCGGCATGTAAGTCCTCCAGATGGTAACTGCTCTCTGCTCAGCTCCTTCCAGTCCTGAGCCCCTCTCTGAAGGATTGATTGCTGCAGTGAAATTATTGCCTTTTCCAGCAGGGAGTGCCCATCTTGGAGTCTCAAAGCAAGATAATGAGAGGGTCTATTTGTAGCCTTTGTCAGCTCAGAACAAAGGCCAAGGCTTTGATATCAGAAACAGGCTTACAAGATGCAAGTCTTTGAAGCCTTCCCAGGTGAAGCACATATTGATGTTTCAGTACTCTGACTATTATGCTTCCCACATCTTCAGGATGCCAGTGAGATTAAAAATACCTGTTAATTTGGAATTTGCTCTAAGTGAATGAGGAGACTCTCAGTAGATTTATGCTATTCCCACTGGTTGAACAATGTCACTTTTACTGTTTGTGTTTTATGTCAAATTTCTCCCCTTTCTCAAAAAGATTATTAAAATAAATATTTTAATTTTCTGAGTTAGAAGCAACACTTTGGAAGGAAGAAAGAAAGGAAGAAGTACTTCAGACTGCTAGGGAATTCTCCCTGATCTGCAGCAAATGCAAATCACAAATTAACTGGAAAGTCTGGAACTTGCTTTAGTTTCTATTAAAGGAGGTCTTGAGATTGGCCTTCTGATCATATCAGACAAGGCAAATCTGCCCCTCAGTACAAAGATCCTGTCATTAGACCAGGTTTGGTTTGTGTTGGGTTTTCTGCCTTTGGAAAACACCAAACATTTTCCCACTCCTCCTTCATCCATTCACCTCTAAATTGGGCTGGTGTGGGGATCAAGAGATATCTCATTTGCCTGACGCTTCTGTTCCACATCTTTTTCAGAAATTCATACTAAGACCTTCTGCCAACCTCCTGGTCAGCCTGTGTGGAGAAGGAAGGAGCCCCAAACCTCCCAACCCTGCACAAGGTATCATTCACCCACACTGGTAGACTCCAGCAGTCACTTACTGCATCCTCTGCAGTCCCAGCCTGCTGCTGTGCTAACTTTGTCTATAAAGGAAAACATACAAGGGCTGAAACCATGAGACTAGTTACCCTGACTAGTTCAGTAACTCTCCCAGGCTTATTGTCACAAGTAAATGCAAAAAGCAGAGAGAAGGTTTTTAAAATTTTTAATACAAATTTCTGACACTTTGTTACCCATGTTGTGATTATTTTATTCTAAGGTATATGTAATAAAAGGTGCAGAGATACACATTCAATTCAAGCTAAGTATTTATTAATTTTGTCTTAGTTTTGTTTGTTATTCTGAACAGCAAATTGAGGTGAAGAACAGATGTGTTGACAACTGATTTCCTATGTTTACACTCTTTATAGGGTTGATTGTAATCCAACAGGCTTGTACAAAACTTGCAAGAGACTATAGTGCAGATTTCACTGACATTGTTAGAAGTGTAAGAATTCCAAGTCCTAAAAGGGAGAATGAACAGCTGTTACTTTCAGTGTATTGCCATAGTCCTCTAGCATCCTGACTGTAAACAGAGCACAGACACAGACCTGAGATGTCAGGTATATTTTTCTTTTAAGTGCAATCTGCAGAGAATCTTACAGGATAATTTAACTTCACACAGCTGTGGATTCTGGTGTCAGTTCAGTACTTGCTTCTTTGGGAGCCACACTTAGAGCATATTTTCTCCTGATAATACTTACAGAAAATAATTTCATAGAGAAAGTAGGAAAAAAGAACTTCTTTTGCAGTGTCCATGAATTAACAGCTGATGATGCTGTCGTACTTAGGAGGCAAATTTGTTCTCTCTCTTAAAAGTAATGTGAGACAGAGTCTTGTGACTTGCCTCTGAATCAGCCAGCAGTGTCAGTAGCTGGACTGGGAAAAGGTGTATATAGTATGTAGTATATATAGGCATTATATATACTGTATAACAGTATATATAGGCATTATATATACTGTTGTGTATATAAATTATATGTATATAACATGTAGTGTGTGCATAAATCTACGCAAAATAAATGAGATACAAACTGGATGTAGATAGATATACACACACACACACTGGAGAGAGGTACATAAAAGGATAAACTGGAGATAAATGATTAGACAGAGAGACAGGCTGGCTGGCTCTTTATCTCCAGTTTATTGTTCCAGGTAGTGTTTTCTTTGAAATTATGTAGTCTCTTAGTGTGCTTGCCAATGCAGAAAACTGACTGTAAGCAGCGAGTAGCTGAGCCTGAGTAGCTTCTGTCTGTCACAGGTGTGTCTTCCACTCCTAAAAACTCAGACTTGCAGTGTGATCCCATCATTCGGAAATACGGAGAAACAAAGCGAGGCCTCACTGGCTACACCTTAACTTTGGAAGAGCAGAAGAAAAATGACTATCCCATGAGAGGTCAGTTTTTGAGGGCTTTTGTCTAGGTGTTTTATTGTGGTGTTTTGGTTGTTTGTTTGTTGGTGTTTTTTTTTTAAATTCTGACAATTAATGTTATGTCTGGTCATTATCAGGTAGGAGTTCTGTGTCTTACTGATGGGTGTCTCTCCATGCCAGGCTCCCCAGGATGTAAGGGCTATATCTATACAGAGTGTGATCAGCAGAGGACAGACAGCAGCCCCCTCTTTGGTCTGGATTGTGAAATGGTAAGAATAAATCTGTGTGGCCTTACAAACTGTAGTTAAGCAACCAAACTCCTACTAGCTATTCCAAAGTGAGACAAACATCTTGTGTATTTGCTAAACTATTTCTGATACATTAGTATCTGCTGCCTGTCCCTTCATTGATGGTGCTGGTGCTGATGTGGCCATGGGAAGGGCAGCAGAGAGTTCAGTTGTGTGTTGGCTGTCAGAGCAGCAGCTGGATCTGCCAGGCCCATCAGCAGTGATGCAGTGACCCCTGAGACAGCTGTGGATTTCCACCTTCCAGCCCTCCCTAACTTTGGAAAAGATGCTTCCTATCACACATCTTTCCTTTAGCCCTCACAGTTCTGGCAGCATGTTGTGGTGAAGATTTCTCCTTTAACTGTAGTTTTGACCTTGCAGAGATGCCTGTTTAGCATCAGCATTGAATAACTGACAATGCAACCTGGGCTCAGCTTTTCATTTTTGCATCTCTGCTGTGATGCTCTCAGGGACGGCTCTGCAGAGCAGAGCATGGACCAATTCTCTGAAATCAGCAGTTCTGTAGAGTGGGGTTTTTTTGTGTTGTGCTTGCCTGTGTGTTTTCTGTGCTTATGGTGAGCATTTAACAGAAAAGCAAAATGAAGCATGCTACATGCTGCAGTGTAAAACAAGTAGCTGTGAGTGGTAGATCTCTTAAGTGGAGTAACTCCTTAGTGGTGACACTGGCTGTGGCCAGAGCAGATGTTCGCTGAGGTTTCAGAGTGGCAGCATCTTGCTGATTCAACAACTGCCTCTGCTTCTTCCTGACAGTGCCTGACTGCAAAAGGGAACGAAGTGACTCGAGTCTCTCTGGTGGATGCACAGGGCCAGTGCCTCTTGAATGAACTAGTCAAGCCTGAAAGCACAGTAGTGAACTACCGCACCAGGTGACTTGGTCAGAAGTTTCTTATCTCTTTGTAAGAGCTGCAACCCTTTCTAATTAAACCCTTTCTAATTAAATATGCAGGACCTTTCAGAGGGCTTTGGTTTGCACAGATGTCTGCTTCATTTTACTCAGTGTTAAGAACAGGATTCTTGCTGTGTGATTAGAATAACCAGTGTTGTGTGCACACTGTGCTTCACAGTGTCCATGTGGCTCTGCAGAAGCCTTGTCATTCTGCAGTGCTGTCTCAGCTCAGTGATGCACTGCACAAGTTACCCTTTTCTGCTGCCTGTAAAAGAGAACACAAGGTTTGAGTACAGGATTTCAGCCTGCGTCTCTCTGCTCCATAGCTAAGTTTACTCATGTATAAGAAATGAATAGAGGGGCTGATCAGCTTTTTACACAGGTCTAGGGATGGGCTTGGGATTATAACAAAAGCAGGCAAAACTTCAGTCTTGTCTTCTCCAAAGTTTGGCCTGGCTGTATCCCAGTCCCTTCAGGTTACTTGGAAGCATCTCCTTCCACCATCAGTCTTGCGATATTTCCTTACCTGTGCTATCTGATGCTAAGAAATGCATCATAAGTTATACTTGAGAGTTAAACTTTTGAAAAAGCTGTGGTAGCACTCATAGCCATTTAACCTGCACTATAGCCTCTTTAGTTGGAAGTGGAAGCAGTAAGGAGCATTCTGTCACCGAGTTACACTTGAGATCATATTTTACACTCCTTGCTTGCAATATTCTTTAGCAGGCCCTGTTGCTAATGTGCTGCTTTTATCTTATCCAGCTTTTTTTTTTTTTTTTTTTTTTAGATTCTCAGGAATCACAAAGAAAATGCTTCTTCCAGTGAAAACAAGACTCCCAGACATCCAAACCAGACTAAAAAAAATGCTTCCCCATGATGCTGTATTGGTGGGTCATTCTTTAAATGCTGATCTTCAGGCTTTGGAAGTGAGTATGTCTTTAAGAGTATTTTTCCCAATTCTGTGATACTTATTTCAGACCTGAAAACTCTACAGTTCCTCTTATTAGTGAGCATTTGTTAATTGCTTTATTGTAAATAATAGCCTTGTGTCTGTAATGATTTAAAAGAGACTCTCCTTACATCTGTAAAACTTGCAAGGGGCTGTTCAGAACCCACAAGGAAGGGAGGAGTCTCTCCAGACACATAGGGTTGCAGCAGAAGCTTTACCTTTGCCTCAGCCAGCTGCTTTTGATAGCTTTGTCATGGAATTCCTTCCTGTATTTAATTTAAGCAACCTAAAATGCTTGAATATTAATTTATCTTTCTAGCACAGTCTAGTTCTTCCCAATACTGTTGGAAAGGAGAGTTGGGCTTGTTTCATTATTCCCATCTTCTCTGTTGCTGTGGACCAGTTATCTCTCAGTGAGAAACTGGCAGCTGAAGTCAACAGGCAGAGGTAACACTGGAGTTGCTGTTCAGTTCTGTATGACTGCTGCTCTTAAACTGGTGATGTTTTCTGTCCTCCAGATGATCCACCCCAGTGTTATTGATACTTCATTGCTTTTTGCCAGAAATGAAGGTCGACGATTTAAGCTAAAATTTCTAGCCAAAGCTGTTTTAGGGTAAGATTCTTACTGTATTTTAATAGAAACATTAGAAACTGTGATGGGCAGATCATAGGGCCTTGCTTTTCCACTAGTAACATGGAAGTTATTTTTTTTCACTAAAATGAAAAAAAAGGAGGAGGCTGTGCAAATAAACATGGTAAATACGAATTTAGTGCCTGCTTGAAACATCAGGTAGCAAAGTAAATCGGCTTGTCTTTGGGCAAGCAGGGACACTGTGACCCAACCAGCTGACTCCTCACAAAACAGCTTTTTGGCAGGTCTGTAGCAATAGCAGGTATTGAGTTGCAGAGCAACCAAGACTGGCTCACACAATTGAGGTGTGTTGTACTACAGCAAGACAGAACTGCTCATGTGTGAAAGTTTGTATGTATGTATGTATGGTTTGCTGACTTCAGTCCTACTCCTCAGTGTGCCAGCTACCCCTGGATTGTACACCATGGCCATAGAGTTCTCACCATCCACATAGTGAATATTAATACCCTGCAGAGCCAAACTTCACATAGTTGGAGGTTGCCTGTGTGCTCATTGTGAGTTGGGTCATTGGTCAGGGAAGAAGTAAAATTAAAAATAGCCATGCATCAGAGTACCAAGTATCAACACTGCTTCTGTCAAACCTGGTAAACAGTGTTTTGCTCAACATTGCAAAAACATGTCTTGCAGTAACTTTTGGAAATATTTCACAAGAATGCTGCTGCACAGAGCTGAAATCCTTTTTGGAGACGGGAAAGCTTATTTTGCCCAAAAAGGACCCAGTTTAGAAAAGACAGAATGTTGGTCAGTGTGGAAAAAGAGATAACCTGCCTGTACACGTAATTTTGATGCCCTAGGAAAGAGATTCAGTCTGAACAGAGGCTTGGGCATGATCCTGCAGAAGATGCTAGAGCTGCATTGGAATTGGCTCAATTCTTTATTGAGCAAGGACCAGTAAAGGTAGGTACATCTAATTTAGATTTCTGTCTTTAATCACAGAGTGTGCAAGGAAAAAAACCCAAACGTTCCTGCTCATCCTCTTGTTTATTTAAAAGAGCAAATGGAGCTGTGACAGGCCTCAATTTTGACAGCTTGTTACTCTCAGCATATATCCAGGTATCATAATAACCTGAAGCATTACCAGGGTTTCAGTACTCAAACGCTGACATGAATCAGCATTACTGCTGTTCTTGAAGAGCAGTATTGGCTAAAGAAGAATTCAGACATTTGCAGCCTTCAGAACTGCCTGTCATTTTTCCAGATGAAAGAAGTGAGAGACCTTGTGTGTTCTGGCAATGATTCACATGCTTTTATGAGTCTCTTGCTTATGTCGTTGATTTCTGAGGGAACTTTTTTGGAGATGATTGCTGGTTGATGCTCAGAGTGCTGTATGCTTGAAAATTACAACAGAAAATAAGGCAAGAAATTAGTGCCTATGTTTCTTCATTGCTGTGGCGTGTGCCTAGGTGACTCACAGAGAAAGCACATGCTTTATGGTTAGCTACAATTAGCTGAGATGAAAGCCAACTACTAATCTTCTTCCTTCTCAAGGTAGCAGAACTAAACTTGGAGATGCTTTTGACAACTGAAAAACTGGCTGAGGTCTCACAGAAGAAAGCTGCATTACAGTCACAAAGATGTAGGGTTCAGAAAGAGTTGAATGAGCCTCCACCTTTATCCAAACCATGGTAATAAGCTTCTCAAATATGCATGTTTTTCTTTCAGCTGAATCCTCAATAAAATCAAGGAAGTAAGGCACATTTTTCAGAAGCCATCAGGATCTTTAGAGAGAGACAAAAATTGTAGTATAGCACTGAAAAACTTTCAGAACGTTTTCCAGGCTTCTTTTAAAGTTGAGGACAAGAATATTCTTTCAGATTTTTGTAATGAACTATATAATTTTTCCCTGACAAGCACTTTTGAAAGCTTTTAATTCACCATATTGATAAGTACTATGATTCACAGCTCTCTTCTCTCTGTTAGTTTTTTAGACTGCTTGCAGGTGGCTGGCCAGAAACCCCTCCTTTTGGGCAGACAGGAACTAGATTCTTCTGGCCTGTGTCAGAGTAACCTGAGCACTTCAAACAAACAGGTGAATGGACTTAGAGTGGGTTGGTCTAAGCAAGCATCAAAGCTGTTCCAAGTTCTTGTTCTGGGGGTGGGTAGATGAGTCCTATTTTAAAAAGCTGCCTGCCAGTGCAATAGTGTTAATACCAGGTTTGCTAAATCCATTGCGGAAATAAGCTTTGATCCTCTGCATCCTCTTATGACTCACTAAAGAATTATTTCTGCCTGAGGGCTTCCTTGGACCGTAATGAAAATTTAAGTTGGGCTCTAAGGTCAATAGCTTTGTTTCTGATCTTTTGCAGTACAATCATTGTGTACCTTTTTGAGCCTTTGTACTCCTTTCCCTCCAGATTCTTCAGAAAGCCTTAGAAGATGTTCCCCTGTCCACATTCAGTGTCATTGAGTTCAGTTTGGATCCAGAGTATGTTGCATCGCACCTCCTTGCTGGACTTTGTGCAAAGGTACTGGGTTTTTTTGACAATAGTCTTCCTTATTGCAGAGCTTGGAGAGACATGTTATTTATCTGGAGTCACCCAGTAGTTAGTTCCTTTGCTTTGTGAAGTTCCTTGTCTAATCTATGTTCCTACAGGTGAGAAGCAAGCTGACTGACATGCTGACAATTTACGCAGGTCCTTTTGAAGAAAGCTTTTGCCTGAAGACTGTGAGAAGAGAATTTGGAAGGTGTGGACCAATCCAATCTCTTACAGTGGTAACTGACACATACCAGGTGAGAGCACTCAAAGCACTGAGCTTGCTGACAGGCATGGAAGGCCTGAGTGATCTCTTGGTAAGATACGGATTAGAACGACTGAAATACCAGTTATTTGGTTGGGTTTTCTTCTGGTGGTTTAGTCATCAGCTACTACAATTCAGGAGTATCTAAAAGCTGCTCCACACAATTACAATAAACACAGCTTACGTGGCTTAACTGTCCTGTTCAAGCTAGAGGACTTTGAGCTTTGGAGAAGCTGAGATACTTCTTCTCCCTCTCAAGAGAGCTGATTTGCTAAGGGCCTTAAATGGCAAATAAACACAACTATTAGTTCATTCATGAGCTAATTGAAGATTGTTTTTAACACCTACAGTATATGGAGTGTCACATATATATTACCCCAAACCTTTTAATATTGTTTTTAAAAGGGAACTCAACTTCATTGAGACCTGACTTTTAAAAAGGGAGGGCTCATGTGTGATACTGATAATCCTGAAGTGTCTTGTCCTTCTGTTTTAAGCCCTATGTCTGTATCCAGTATGAAGTGCTGGAAGCTGCCCAGCTTGCTGTGGAAAGCCTCAATGGAGCTGAGGTGGCAGGATCTTGCATTAAGGTAAGCAGTGTCAATAGCAGAAGCCTGAGTGATGTTGAGCACAGGGACAGCATCCAATATGTCTCTCTGAACATCTGCTCACAGCAGAGCATCTGGGCAAGTGGTGGCTGGTTGTGCTGTTACCATATGCCTGTGCCTGGAGAATTTAGGGCCACTGGCAAAAAGTCAAAAAAAAGCTGCCTTTTTTTCCCTTTGCCTGTCAGCAGAAGGGAGTTAAAATGCCTTCTGACCTCCAGCTGCAGCTTTAAAAGGAAAAGCCAGTAACAGGATGTTAAAATGCCATATACAAAGTATGAGGTTCTTAATATAAACAGCTCTTTTTTTTTTTTAAGTTAATTAATAAGTTAGCCTTCATTAGTCATGTTTTTTCAAGGGAGGGTAAATTGCTTGTCAACTTCTGGAGAAAATAACTTAAAAGAGGCTCAGAACACAGAGCTGCTTGGGCTGACGTGCTGTTTTGTTCCTGCTGCAGGATGTTAAAATGCCATATACAAAGTATGAGGTTCTTAATATAAACAGCTCTTTTTTTTTTTTAAGTTAATTAATAAGTTAGCCTTCATTAGTCATGTTTTTTCAAGGGAGGGTAAATTGCTTGTCAACTTCTGGAGAAAATAACTTAAAAGAGGCTCAGAACACAGAGCTGCTTGGGCTGACGTGCTGTTTTGTTTCTGCTGAATCCACCCCAGGTCCAGAGACCTGTCACTGCAGCAACGCTGGACTGTGATGTTTTGATAAAGGAACTAGAACTGGATGTAGAAAACGAAGGTGTGATTTATGTGGCAGGGCTAAAGAAGTCATTAACAGAGACAGACTTGCAAGAAGAATTCAGCCAGTTGGAGGATCTGGAAACACTGTTCCTGCCAAAAGATCTCAAGAGTGGAAAGCATAGGAACTGCTGTTTCCTCAGTAAGTATCTTCACATACACCCTGCTTATTTCCTTCCAATAAGCTCATTCAGCAGCTCTCAGGCCATTGCACAGACACAGCAAGAGCTGCTGAAACTCATGGATGCCCAACATGATGGTATTTAAAATACTTCAGTGAAAGCAGCTCTTGTTTGGAAGAGCAATTTCCAGGTAAATAGTTAAAAGAAAAAAAAAACTGCTTAAAAACATATCTTTACTTAGGAAAATTCCACTATAGTTCATTGGCTCTAATACCTCCATGTGAGGGCTGGCAGCTGTGCTGCTTCCCACAGCCAAGCGATCATCTCTGGAAAGGTGAGAACAACTGGAGGAGGAGTGCTGGTGAAGCTGTTACCTGTAGCAAGATAAGGATCTGCTTGCTGCAGTGATTTCAGTTCCTCCTCTCCCTCCTGCTCCACACCTCTAGCCCTACCCTACAGGTGCCAAGGAACAGGGTAGCAACATCACTGCCAAAGCACCTTCCTCTTTGTGTTTCAGAATTCCCGAAATGGCAGAGTGCTGTGGATGCCCTGGAAGTCATAAATGGCTGGACTGTGAAGGGAAACAAACTCAGAAGTAGGAAAGCTCTTGCTTCAGGTCATCTCTGGAGGTGGATTTGGCAAATGAATCACAGCAACGGGAAGCAAGGAAGACACATCTTACATGAGAAGATGGAGCAACTGTCTGATATTGTGAGTTTAAGGTTATAATGATGTTCTTTGCAGTCAGTGAGGAGCTACTGCCCTGGAAACCAGGAGCGGAGCTGCTTGGCAGCGAGTGATGCCCCACAGGGGCTGCAGTGCCCACAGGAGAGCAGCCAGAGCAGTGTACTGGTGTAGCTGGTGCTCTGGCCTTCAGAGGGAGAGGTTGCCCAGTTATGCAGCCATGCAGGAAAGAACAGCGCTCCTTGCAGCTCCCAGTGTCACCAGAGGAAGCTGTAGTGCCATTTGAGTAGGGCATATGGTTCTGCCTGCTGCTGAGGCACTGCCCTGCCAACCACCAGCCTGGAGCTGGAGCTCTGCCCGAGGGACAGCCTGGCCACATGCACCTCTAACCGTGATTGCTACAGGTCTGCAGAGGAACAGGGGTTTTAATGTTTATATTCTGTTATGCAGGAGCAGGATCTAAGGAAACAGGTGAAGAAGTTGGACCACCATATCAAAAAGCTTTACAGAAGTCTGCAGAATAACACCCTGTGCATTGTTCTCTTTCCAGGAGTGAACAGGTAACTTACCCCCTATTTTGTAAAGAGCCAAGGAGAAATACATAGCCAAATATTTTTTAATCTTAACCTATTAAAAATTAAAGCCCTGCACAAGGAAGTGAAAGCCTGAGAGAAGGCCTGAAGAAGCTGATGTACATATTCAGTCTGACTTTCATGTTGGGCCAATAGAACCTGAACAGTAAGTTCTGCCCATAAGCCCTGCCTGATCCAGAACAAGCACAAGTGCTGAAGCCACTTACGTTGCTGATGGTCCAGATTAGCAAAGCTGAAGTACACAAGTGTTGAATAGTTATTTAAGTCTTCTCAGTTCACCTATCTTTCCCTGTTGGATGTTTTATCCCTAGTGACAGCAAGCTAAGTTTTATGTGCCCATGAGTGAACTGAGCGGTTTCCAGAGCAGCCAGGTTTTTTTTGGGTGGTTTTAGTGGGGTTTTGTTTGTTTTTTAAAACCAGTGAACTCCTGCAGCCAGGGAACAATCAGCCAGTTGTTGTCACGTGGTACCCTAATGTATGTGCTTCAGTCATAGCTGATGAAGGAGGTTGTTCAGGCCCTGTTTCTTAAGATGAAGGGACATGACTGGGGGAAAAAAAAGGGACACTTTTCAGAGTCTTTAAGCTTTCTTGGAAAGAGGCAAGTCCTAGATGGGAGCTGGACCTTCTATCAGGAATGTTTTGGGGGGGTGGGGGAGGCAGGCTTCATGCATTTCAGACCCTGGGGCCTGAACTGCTAGTCATTCACTGCTTAATTCTTATCAGAAAGGTCAAATCTTTCCCAGGAAAGGCCCTGGTTTCTGAGTACATACTGAACAGGGCTTTTTACATTTCTGAGCAGTCAGTTGTCTCTTCTCTACACCGTGTCACCCCAGTGACTTTGCCTGCTAACCTGTCAGTCCCACTGGAAAGGTTTGAGGTGAGGATGGCTGTGGCGTTACAGTCTACACGGAGTGTCTCTTGCAGCAGATTCACAGGTCTCAGCAGGTCCAAATTTACTTCTGAAGGGCCATCTCAAACCATCCTCACAAGCTCACCTGTTGTCTTCCATCACTGAAGGGATGAATCCCACCAGCAGAACAGGTGGATCTTAGCCACAAGGAGCTTACAGAATCCCACACTGAGTGGGTCCAGGCTTGGAAGAGGTTTCTTCCAAGTGATATTCCTGTACAACTGTTTCCCAGAGAACTGACAGGCTAGAAGAGACTTCTCGATTAAAAAGAATGTCAAATAACTTTTGCATTGGGGGCAGGGGGGGCGGTAAATAATCAAAAACAAACCCAAAAATACTACTTTTCAATCTGCTGGGCCAGAGAGTTGCAGGCTTCTCACTCGTAGCAATCTGTGTGCATCAACTACCCTGAGCAGAAGTAACAGACCTCTTGTTTATGTTGCAGCATACATGGATCACAGTCTGGCCTTGGTCTGATGGGAATAAAAGCTGACAGAGGGAGGAGTGCTTGCTGAACTGCCAAGTTTTTAAGCAAAGTCTTTTGTTAAGCTATTTTTAAATACTTAAAAATATTGATGTCTTTGTAAAGATCTCTTACCATAAGAACAATGGGCTTTCACACTGTATCTTTGACAAAGGCTAAAAATAAAAAGCTATTCAAAACATTTTAAAGCACAAAACCTTTTCCATTAACCCTTGTTGCTGTGGCAGTTTTCCGTGGCAGTTTTCCTTGGCAGTGGTTGAGCCAGGCAGGTGCTCAGGAAGCTCTAGGGGCAGCCAGGGAGTGTTGCCCAGAAGCCCATCAGTGTTGGCCTGCAGGATGCACCGTGGCTGCCGGAGACAGATGGACCAGCAGGGCTGTCAGCCCTGGGACCCTGCAACCCACAAGGCAGCAAGCCAGGCCCATGTCCTACCTGCAGCAGCTGCTCAGCAGTTAAATGCTGTTCTCAGGAATTGTGTGGATTGCTGGAAATGAGTGCCTGCTCTGAAGCAGACTCACTGCCTCCTTTCCGGGAAAGTACTGTACTCAGGCCATGGAAAGAAGGAATTGGTGATTCACACTTCTTGGACAAGCTCCACTTTCTCCTCCCTCCCTGACCACCCCACACACCCCTCACACAAAAAAGAAGAAAAAAAAAAAATGTAGTTACAGGGAGACTGTGGGAGGGACAAGGGCCTTTGAGCAAAGGACAGGTCTGTGAAGTCCACAGAGCACTGCTTTCAGCTGGAGGTGCAGAGGTGCAGCAGATGGACTCACAACCTGACAGCTTCAGTCCTGTGCTTTGCAGCCACTGGCACCTGAATAAAAGGCTGCTCAAGCATCTCCTGGGACCATGGAATTTCCAAGCACAAGGATGCCCAGGAGAGTGCTTGGCACTCAAAAAAAAAAAAAAAAAATAAAAAAAAAAATTGAAAGAGACAAGTTTGTTACAAGGGTTGAACAGGAGACAAGGGGTTTCTTGATATGAATTAGAATAGGCTGAGATAAAGTTGAAATAATTGTTATTATTCCAGAAATTATTAAATACAGCTGTTAGCACATTTACACCGTCCTCCTTCCCAACTCCATATTTATTTCACTGGGCTCTTGAGCAAAGAGCAGCTATGGAGTAGAACTTGAGAGGTGGTGTGTGGAGGAGCAGGCAAAAATAAAGCCTAGGGAGAGAAAGGCAACACTAGCCCAGAGGCAGTGCCAGTGAGTGGGTAGTAGATGCTCGCATCCTTGTCATTCATACCTAAATTTAAAGCCTCCAGAACTCCTGAAATTAACTCTTAGTAAGCTGAATGCAGCCAGTTATTTTCTTGTAAGAAGATCTCCCCTACAAGGGAGCCTGGCATCCTTTGGCTGCAGCAATCACAGAGAGGGATCAGGGTCAGGCAGCTCAGTGGAAGGTCAGAGCTGGCCTCAGGGGTGGATGGCAGACTGACCTCAGCACTCAAACCCCTAAGAAGAGGCTCCTGTTCAGCTGCTCCATCCAGCATTCCACTTTCTCCTCCCTCCCTGACCACCCCACACACCCCTCACACAAAAAAGAAGAAAAAAAAAAAAAAGTAGTTACAGGGAGACTGTGGGAGGGACAAGGGCCTTTGAGCAAAGGACAGGTCTGTGAAGTCCACAGAGCACTGCTTTCAGCTGGAGGTGCAGAGGTGCAGCAGATGGACTCACAACCTGACAGCTTCAGTCCTGTGCTTTGCAGCCACTGGCACCTGAATAAAAGGCTGCTCAAGCATCTCCTGGGACCATGGAATTTCCAAGCACAAGGATGCCCAGGAGAGTGCTTGGCACTCAAAAAAAAAAAAAAAAAATTGAAAGAGAAAAGTTTGTTACAAGGGTTGAACAGGAGACAAGGGGTTTCTTGATATGAATTAGAATAGGCTGAGATAAAGTTGAAATAATTGTTATTATTCCAGAAATTATTAAATACAGCTGTTAGCACATTTACACCGTCCTCCTTCCCAACTCCATATTTATTTCACTGGGCTCTTGAGCAAAGAGCAGCTATGGAGTAGAACTTGAGAGGTGGTGTGTGGAGGAGCAGGCAAAAATAAAGCCTAGGGAGAGAAAGGCAACACTAGCCCAGAGGCAGTGCCAGTGAGTGGGTAGTAGATGCTCGCATCCTTGTCATTCATACCTAAATTTAAAGCCTCCAGAACTCCTGAAATTAACTCTTAGTAAGCTGAATGCAGCCAGTTATTTTCTTGTAAGAAGATCTCCCCTACAAGGGAGCCTGGCATCCTTTGGCTGCAGCAATCACAGAGAGGGATCAGGGTCAGGCAGCTCAGTGGAAGGTCAGAGCTGGCCTCAGGGGTGGATGGCAGACTGACCTCAGCACTCAAACCCCTAAGAAGAGGCTCCTGTTCAGCTGCTCCATCCAGCATCACCTTCTTGCAGAAACTTGCACTGCAATGCTGGAAAAAAACCCAACAACCCAGCTGGTTCTCATTCTGTGCACTTAAAAATGATGTGGTCACCTCCCTGTGAGGACTGGGAAGGATTTAGTGAGCATCCAGGATTCCTGTTTGAGAACTTCTGGAGATGATAAATATAGCAAGAATCCTAGTTATAGGCATGAAAAAAATAATTAATTTGTCCCCTTTTAATTGAAAAGGTAAAAAGGACTTCAACTTTAAATAAGCCATTTCTACAAAAGCTTGAGCACCAAAAAAAAAAAAAAAGTGAACACCGATGTGTCATTATGTAAACACCACAAATGTTACTCATTTGTTCAGTAAAGCACAGACCAGTGGGTAAGCTCCCTTTTCCACTGGATTAGCTTTCTGTAGCTGTTCCCCTCCCTCCCCTCAGACCTTACTGGAATACAGGAAACCCAGCAGCTTTGGAACAAGTACAAACCTACAGCAGTCAGGATACACTGTGACTAAAGGGTTGTTGTTGTTGTTTTTTTTCCTTTAAGGGGTTGGTCATTTAAATATACAGAAGTACAATAATCTCACAGGTAAATGAATGGCAGCTTAGATTAGAAAAAGCACCAAAATATTTAATATACATCTGGCACAAATTTCACAAGAAGTAAGTAATGGACAAACCAATGCTTTGCTTTTAAGAGAAATCTCAGACTGCACTTAATGCTTCTTCCAAAAGGGACATGACAAGAAACATTGCACTCAGGATTGCTATCAAGTAAAGACAACCTCGTTACAACCCATTTTGCATTGTGCCTTAGATTGCACATTCTAGAAGATGCTGTTTCCATTCTGTTCCAGACTACAACAGTGAGCAAAATTTGATATAATAATAAAAACTACAAATAAAACAGGACTCAGTAAATGCATCACCTTAACTTCTCCCACTTTTCCTCTAGATCACTATTTCATTTAGCCATAAACCTTTAAAAAAAGATTCTACATGAAACAGAATTTACTCCAGCCAGTTTCAAGCATTACGTTTACACAGCACTTCTGATCCTGCTGTCTGAAAAGGGGCAGCACACATCTGCTCCATGACACTCAATACATTCATCATTTCCCAAAGCAAGAAAAGTGGCTGATAGGTGGTTATCTCGTGGGTGAGTCTGAAAAGGCAAAAACCACTCCTGACGGGAAGCTCAGGATCCTGCCCACCCTCCTGGTGAGCTGAGGAAGTGAGAGCACAACCACCTCCTTGTATTCACATGCCATGCAGTGAAGGCATGCAAGGTCTGCTCTCTAAAGTTCTTTCCTTAGAATTGGTCACTTCTCTGGGACCAACCACCACCAAAATGCACTCCTTCCAAAATGGGTGACTTGAGGCTAAATTGGGGTCGAGCTCCACAATCAAGTACACCAAGAAACCCAGCCACAACAACTAGTTCTCCCAGGCTGCCCCTTCTCCTCCAGAGAGCCTGTCAAGGACTTGTGATTGCTTCAAGACCAGCCAGTACAAACCCCAGCAGTGCTGGGTCAGGACCAAACCCTGCCACTTGCATCCATGTTTCTTGGACCTCAGGTAACTCAATCAACAGCACAGGTCCCTCTAGCCACTCCTGTCAGACCATCTCCTTTTTAAAAGACTGGTTTAAACTTACAGACCAGAAAACAAGCACATTTTTAAGATAGATAACTATGTTTAGTGTGACTTAAAAAGTCACCACTTCAAAATACTAAGCAGTATTCTGTGACATCCTCTAACATGGAATACATGTGGGAATACAAAAACAGCAGCCAGTCTCCAGCTCCACTGATCCTGTGGGGTTGTCACCCCTGGCCATGCAATCTCCCCTTTCATAGGCTCAGAAAAGAGCAGGGGGCAGTAGTTTTAACTGCATAAAATGGCAACATTCAAGTAAACACACTGATTCAACAGCAGGCAACCTTTAGTCCAAATATAATTCACAGGAGGGGAGGGAAGGGAGGTGGGAAACCCCCACAACTTTCCATCAAGAACATCAGAGATGATTATATTTTTGTCTCTGTGTGAAATGATGTTATCCAAAAAGGGCTTATCTAAAGAGTGCAATTAAGCCAAGATAAAAGCTTTTTAAAAATAAAATTGTACAACCTCCAGCACCTGTCAGATTTTAAAACCTAACTACAGAAAGGACTGCAGCAGTAGTGAGGAACCACTGTAGCATCAGTGATTTAAGGCAAGCTGTTAGCAAGACTAGTACGTTCATGGTCCTTTTACACATCATCTCACACAGCCCCTGCCCTCTTGAAATATGTGCCTGTACAGATAGTGCAAGAGGTCACACCCCAAAAGCAGCCCTCAAACTGGAAGAAGAATCTTGTAGCAACAGTTGCTACTGCATAATCTCTATTTGGGGTTTGCAATGAGTAATTCTGTTGTGGTTTTCTTTGGGGAAGGAAAGCAAGGGACACAGATGTGCTGCATGAAAAAGAGACACCACCCAAGTCCATTAATGAACACAATGAGCACTCAAGCCACTCTGGCATTGTCAATACACTTGAGAGTGCTCCAGCTTTGCTCAACCATAAGGGTTTTATCCTGAGCAAGATTCTGACCTCAGGGAGGAAAAGGATGTGTGTGGCCTTTACACTTCTGCAGCTCCCACCTTTGCTGGGTGTTACAGGTACAGTCCAACATGGAACAAAATACAGTATTTTTCATCAAAACACACTCATGGCACTGCATCAGGTGAGTTCCTGAAGTTTTTCAAGGGCAAATGAAAAGCCTAATGGCTCCCTCCCAGGGAGCACCTAATCCATCTTCAACTTACTGTCAGCAGAGGTAGCCTGACCAGGGAAGAGGATGCGTGGTGCCAAAACCCCCTGAGCCACATGCAATGCAGCTCCAGTCAGTCACTCTATTGCACTCCAAAACTAGCACCCGAGAGCACCAACACTTTTGTTTGCAGCTTTGCTCCTTTCAAAGGGTCAACTGCATGCAGACTAAAAGTAGTATACCCAAAAATATGACAAAGAGATAATACTTAAGTTGGGTCAATTTAAAAAAACAGATTACTCATCCAGGCATAAAATCCTGGGAGGGAAGGATGGTAACCTTAAACTATTCAAGTCTAAGAACAAGAGGTAGAGGTACCTGTGTACTTCCTGGTGAAGGAGTTACAGCCTTCAGTCCTACAGTCTCACGTATTTCACTTCAGTTGACAAGATAAAAACCAAAGATTCCATCTTCAATACTCCAGAGAAGATTTTAACACTGGTGGTTTTGTTTGTACACAATAAAATTTAAGCAGCTTTCAATACTTAATTGAAAAAAAAATTATATTTAGCTGTATATTGAAACAGTACACTGAAGAATTTCGAGTTTCAGATTAAGCATCTTCCTTTTTAGTATGAAAGGCTAAATTCAAATGCACACATTTCAAGCAAAGTGAGCCCGGGGGAAGAACTGGGTGCCCAAGGATCTTCTAAAAAAAGGATCACACTGCAGAACACAAGGCTGCAGGTCCCAGAAGCTCACAAAAACTATTATTTTCCAATGAATGGGAATGATGTAACCTCAGCCAACAGATTACATCATGACTGACGTGGCTGTGAACTACATGGTGTTTCTGTAACTTTGCTGGGATTTTTTTTGGAAACAAATCTTAGAAGGGCAAGGAAGATGCTTATGTTGAAAATGTCATGGAAATACTATGGTTGCTGGGCAGTGCATAGCCATGTCAGGGAACCTGAGGGGACAGGCTAGGACCTGTCCTGGGATCCATGGGTTCTTCAGGCTGACAGATGTGCATGGAGTGAAACCCAAGTCATAGAGGCAAAGCTGCAGCTGCCTGCAGCACCCTGAACCCCCACCTGGCAGACACCCTGCTCTGGGGAAGAGAGACTACATCTATGTGTGACCAACTCCATGTCACTCTCTTGCCAGCAGAGCAGGGTCCCTCCTTTCATGGTCTTAAAACGTGCTTGGCTGAAAAGCTGCAGTGGTTCAGAGGCTGACCCATGAGCAGATCTGCCACGCCAGCCTGGGGAGGCCAGTGCCTGCCCTGGGGCAGACTGAACTGCCACAAGCTTCAGCTGAGTTGATGCCACCTGCCACATGTTCACTTATTTTTCCTGTGGTTCTTTCATTATGATTGCACAGTATTTAAAAACTCTAGTTCTCCATATAGAACATCACCAGCAGCAAGTAAGCTCACAATTCAGTGTTCTATTTCAATTCCTCAGTCATGTCCCATGGCCAGCTATGGGCAGAATCTTTCAAATCCTTACTTGAATCAATAAATAGTATTTAACCTCAGAAATACACCCACACAAGTAAGACCTAGCACAACTGAGCCTCCAGTTGATCTGAGAGCCAAATTTTAAAGGTGTTGTTGCAAACTATAATATGGGGCAGGTGGTCAGTGTTTCATTACTCAGAAGTATAGTTTACACGAGTTGTATTTCTTTGTGTATAAGGGAAGGCCATAAAATGCCAGTGTGTGGATGTCAGACCAGTTTTCCATTATATTACTAAGATTATCTATACTTAGTTAGCTATAGTTATTTATCCCAAGTTGCAGCAAATTCAGTAGAGGCACTGAGCTTTCTAATGAAAAAAACAACCTTAAAATAGATGCAACAGTTTTGAGGATTTCATCAGCATCATTGCTTACTATAGCCCTGTGCCCTACACAATGAAGTTTAAAATTAAATAGAAAAGTTAATATATTTGGCCTGTTCCACAGATATTCACAGTTTAACCATTAAATAAGCATATATTCAGAGTCTCCAATATTGTTAAAAACTTCTCAGAACCATGTACAAAGCCCCACTCCCCCCAGGAACACCAGCATACAGAGCACAGTCTATTCTTTAGGATCATAAAATCACCAGGCAATCCAAGGGAAGATCTGATGCCCTCTCTCACTTTCAGCACTGTCAAAGAGTTGCAACTTCAACTCCAGGGTCAGGAGTTTAAAACTGATACATGTCTGGCTTGCATTCTGTAAATGGTAATTTAAAAAATGGTTAGGCTAAAAATAAACAGTACTTTGCTAGATAGATGATTTGGCTATTTTTGCACGTATGCTACCCAAAGGGTGGAGTTTCTCCTGCTGGGCTGAAAGCAGCAGAACAAGATCAAGGCCACTGTCTCATACTGAGAGCACAGGACTTAAACCACTGAGAGCTGGATGTATGAGAATTCCCTTTCCCCAACAGGAAATCAGATTTTCTCCTTCTTGTCTATTCACCACCACTGTCTTTAAAAAGCAGCTGTATTATGTTTGATACACTAAAATGGCTGAGCCTTTAAGGGCTGCAGATTGGTCTCCTTACTGCAATCCACATTCAGACCACCAGACCGCCTTTCTTGAAGAGCTCTATCCCTCATCCTTCAGAGCTGCTGCATTTAGCATACAAATCAGTAGCAGCCACTGCCATGATCTGTGCATGTACTGGCTATCCATTTTTCACACTTCGGACATTTTTAATTCCCTTTAGGAAAAAAAAATAAATTAAGTTATGAGCAAAGTATTTAATAGCTGAATGAATTAGTAGACTCCAACAGAAATAGAGTCTTCAGTTACTATCAAATCAGTCTTAATTTGGAACTTTTGCTGACAAAGCAGCCTCTGTTGGGGAATTATTTTTTCTCTTTTTAAAATAACAGCACAAGCAAAACTCTCACCACAAATTCAATTATACAAGCACAAGAGCTTTGACCTGCTTTGCTCATCAAATCAGGATAAGGTTTTACTGCCAAACAGTGCTTGTGCCATGGTAGCTTGGAAGGTTACAGTATCAAGGACAAAGCTTTGGGTATAACACAGCAAGTTCAGGGCTCTCCTTCTACATGGGGACAGACTCACCTGCATCTGGAACAATTATATTTGTTTTCTACAGTTTAACACATCTCCCAGCAAGCGCTTGCAAAAGCAGCATGGACCAAACTCTCCTTTTATTACATGAAAGAGATGCTATCTCTGCCTTGTGGGTTTGTTTTAAACAGATTCCAATGCCTCCATTTTGTTAGTGATTTGTGATCTCAGACCCAAGCGATTGCATAAGCTGCACAGCAGCAAAACCAGGGACAAAATTCAAGCAGATCCTCCTCCTCTCTCTGCTAACCCCTCTGGGGCACAGCAGGTGTGCAAAGCATGCTGTCCTGGACCAGTGACAAGCTCACCTCTTAAAATCTGCTTCCTTTTAGCTTTAAAAACCCTTGTATCACAAAAGCCATTAGATGCTATGGATGACTGTCCAGGGTTGGGGTTTTTTTCTGTTGTTTTGTTTTTAATTGAAGCTGTTTTATGATCCTGAAATGCAGCTCTGAAAAGAAAAGGTGTGTAATGGAAGTGTAACAAATAAATTAACCCAGTACTTAGCTCTATAGAAAGCCTTGGCAATCATCCCTTTTACCAAAAAGGTGTAAAAAAGTTGACATACTAAAATTCAAAAAGGTAGCATCAATAACCAAAAAAGTTTCAACCAGTGTTAATAAAACTCCCTTTAAGTCACAACAGTTTCAACAGGCAAATAGTCCCAATACAGGCATTGTAAAATAATAAATTGACTCCTATCCAAATATTATCAAATCAGTCTAAAAATGACTCATCTACACTTTTGTCATTAAGAATACATTAAGAATTCACTTTGTCATCAGATGCCAATATTGTTGCTCCAGCAAGTGTGGAGTATTAACTGCAATTTAGCAATTAAACATAGGTTTTTAAAAACTGGTTTGTCAATATTAATGCAAAAGATAGTTCCTTACATAGAAGTACTGTGCTTGCCAGACAAGTAAGATAATACTTTAGGTATAAATCAAACAAATTAAAGCAGAATTATACCACAGTTTTCCTTGAAGACTTGGGGTTTATGCGTTGCTTCTGTCTTAAGAAGCAGAACCTTTGGTTCTTTTAGTCAAGTAAAAATATTCTCACGTAACCACAAAAATACAACTTCCAGAGAAAATGGAAGTCCATCAAGAAGTCCACTTTCAATAAAACTGAGGTAGTACTGCTCTTTTATTCTGTGATGTGTAAGAGATTTGGATACAAATCGTCATCTACTCAGTTGACTGACAGGTACAGTAATTTTATAAAACAATCCCAACATTTAGTTTGAAACTCCAAAAAAAATGAATGATCTGGGCTCGTTCACGAAGAGTTGGCTTAAAACTGGAACTAGCCATCTTACAAAAAGCTGTTGCTTATGTTGTTTTTTAGAGCCTTATTACCCGGGGGATTAATGCATTTATATTAACAGTTAACACTGCTGTTCATCTTGGTATAAAACCTTAAAATTATTACAGCCTAAAATTTCAACAATGTAAACAGCACTACACACAGTACAGACCTGCCCTGACAGATGTAGTATGAAAAACTTAATCTGGCACTGTATAATTTAGCAATGTTAATTTAACCTAACTAAAAAGTTCTACATTGTGCAAGAAATATCAGACTTACTTATACTAATTGGAAGTCTTAAAACAAACAAACAAACAACCCCAAAACACTTAACTTGTAGCCAGGGTCAAATATTTCAGGGCAAGAGTAAAAGGAATAACCAAAATTAAGAAAGTGCCTAAAACATGTTACAGCATTTTAGAGCCCTTTCAAAGACAAGGCAGAAAAAGGTGTAAAGTAGAAAAATCTGGAGCCTCAGTAATTTCCAGAAACATCCAGAGTTTACATTTCATGAAGGGCAACAGCTTGTTTTCTTCACTGCTGCTTCGATGCTGCTAAGTCTGTTCCTCCACACACAGGCCCTCCGTGTCCAAACACATCACACATTTGGTTTCCTCTTCCTTTTTCCTTCGCTCCATTTCCCACTCCACGAAGGTATCGAAGAGACTCGGCCAGGCCTCGTCCTCACTGTAGTTGCTAAGGTCTGGTCCAATCACCTGAGTAAAATTTAGAAACATGTTCCACGTGTCCCGGGAGATTCCCTTGATTCCTGAGGGGTTCTCAGTGAGGAAGTGTAACCACTGGTCCAAAATTGGGGGCTTGTTTTGGGTGAAGACTAATTTCCAAAGGGCAATGGCTATTTCCCGATGTAGTGACCTCTGTCCTTCCTCAGAGTCCAGGCCGAACTGGAAGGTGAAACGATAGAGATCCTTGAATTTATCTTCCTGCTTGGCTTCGTTTAGGAGGCTGGAGAACCTTGCACAGATGCTGTCAATGCTGTCTGCATTTATTGCTTTGCAGCCTTCAAAAAACTCCTTCCTATTAAGCAAGAGAAGAGAAATTAGTGCCAGCACTTCCCACCACCCTCAGGGGCCAGATGCTTCCCATCTCTGTTCAGCTGTGCCAAATCAGAAGAGGGCTATCTGGACAAGTCAAGATGTGCTTTCAGCCCAGGTGGCAGAAAGATCTTGGCAACAGGTGATACTGGGAAGAGAGGTTTCCAAGAAGTTCCTCATGGCTTGGGCAACCACAGACACCACTCAGATCTGCTAGGACACCGTTAGCGTTTGAAAGATTTTCCTCTCTGACTCCTGGATACTACCACACTCAGTGCCTTTCACATTAAAAAGTGAGTAAAATTTACCACAGGAGAAATACCAGTGTTTGAAAACACCACTCCTATGCACTGAAGCACCACACATAAACCAGCTTGATTTGGTATTGCCTCTGTCTAAATGCCCATGCTCTGAGCAAGCTGTTCTAAAGGGACAGAGCAGTACACTGGTGGCTTTCCTGTTGTTTTTGGTTGCTCTTCCAGCCTGCAAAATAAAAAGACACCAACTGCAATGGTCAGCAAAGGCACCTGCTGAGGGAGCAGGGGAGAGCACAGTGCCACACAGCACCAACACTGCTCCAAGCACCACTCCTCTATCAATCAGCCTACTCATAATGTGGCCAAGTGGGGAGATGGCCAGCTGTGACTTCTCTAATGCTCAGGAGCAAGAGTTGAAAGCAGATAGTATGAACCAAAGCCAGCAGACTGATGGGGGGACAGGCTGGAGGGAAGACAGGAGACCAGACTCCATCACATTCCTTGATGGAAGAAGTCAAGCAGTGCTCATAGCAAAGAGAATGCCCTTTAGCAAAGGTTAAATTCTCACCACTAGATCTGCCCTTTCCAAGAAAATCAAAACTGTATTAATATAACTCATGGTGGCTGTGCAGAATGACAGACACCACTTGCAGCTACTTTGCCACATTAGCAGATGCTGTGCTGTCAGCCTCCAGTAAATCCACATCTACATTCAGAGTAACTCATCCTTTTGACACATACCCACAAAGCCTCAGAGGATGCTGGAAAAGCTACTGGTGTTCAGTGTAAAGCAGAGGCTTGGTTCAAAGCTTAGAACACAATAAATTTGAAAGTTATTAGCTGAGTGAAAACAGGTTGCATTAATCAATCTAGATAGAGTGAAAAAATCAAAAATTCATTCTGTCTCAGCAAGTCCCTGTAGAAAGTCTTTACTTCCTACAGGAAGAAAGCTGATGGTGTAAAGCTGGTGGAAGTTAAGCTGGTGGTGTTGTTGCAGCAGTTTTGGTGTTCGCATTTTTTTTCCCTGGTAAGTTTTAGGTGTTCTGTCATTTGCTGTAGTATCACACATGCAATAAGCCTGCTGACTGACCTCCTTGTCCAAAAGGACAGACAGCACTTTAAATACCCACCACTCGCAGTCAGTATGAAGCAGCTACCAGTGTCACAAACCATGTGTTTCCTTCCCTCTATATGCTTCAACAGGATTAGTGTTGGAAAAAGACATCAAGTGCAGCACTGGTTGGGCAGCAACATTTCTTAGAAAGCAGTCTGTCCTTTTTTCACAGAATGGTAACAGAGCTGGTAGCAATTGCTGAGGAATCTCATGTTACTCTAAAGCAAAAATTGATTTAAGTCTCCAATTCATGACCAAGATAATGCTGGATAGAGTAAAACTGCTTCTGGTAAACCAGGAATAAACAAATGTCTACAGAACCCTACTACACTGTTTACCATTAGCAGCAGAATGTCCAAAACCATATTTTCGGTTCTGAAACCCACTGTGAAGGGAAGGGGAAAACAGGACAATACAAAGCTTACCTTCTGCAGTGGTAGGAATTAATCTGATGAAAATGCAAGTGTTAGAAGAAATAAGTAAGTGAAGCTAATGAGGCTCTCTCTCCAACATACAGATGACAAGAAATACTTTAACATATGAAAATAATTACAACCTCTACAAGAACTAACCTTGTAAATTTGCACATGGTAGCAGCCTGGAATTTCCAAGCCAAAACTAGCACTTTAAATTCAGTGGGATCAACACAGAGGTCATTGCAAAATCGTTCCATTCCTTCTTCCAGGATGGCATCTTCCCGTTCATCCTTATACCTCCTAAATAACTCCTCGATCCTTTGGAGTGAAGATTCTTCTGCGTTGGAAACAGGGTCTTTCTTTGTGTCACCAGAAAATGTTGGGGGCTGACTAGACTCTACAGCAGCATCAGTTTTCTTTGTCCCGTTCACCAGTATATCCCCCGAAGACTTCCCGCAAGCTGAACCACGGTCATCTTTGTGCACTGCGCTTCTCTTACTATGAGACTTGCTTCCAGATTCCCCATTTTTGCTGCCAAGGGTAGAAGAAGGATTCTTGCACTTTGTGACACACTGGCCCATGATGTTGTAAGCCCAGCTCCCAGAGTGGTCCCCTTCCCGTCCGACACCCGCACGGATGCTCTTCAATACATCTCACCATGCCATTAGCGGCAATCAGCTAACCTGAAAGACAGTTCCAGAGTCAAGCTGCTATTTCTCCACAAAGAATATTGTGAGTATTAAATGAATGTGGAATAACATTCACCAGTAAGAGACTGACTCAGGATATTTCAGTTCTGTGGACTGAAAGGAGCAGTGTACAGAAGGTTGGCATATGCCATAAATTTTAGGCAATTTTGGGCCGTTTTACCTACAAATCAATGCAGCTCACTCAGTGGTTGCAGTCTACTAACGGGTCCTAATAAAGGAAATTCCTAAAATTCTTACTGTAACACAGGTTACAAAGAGGTTGATTCATGTACAGACTTCATCAAGACAGACTACTCTAACACAGAAATATTTTAGAGGAAATGGTTTGTAAAAGTATACCCACATTTTATATATAGAATATAAAATACTGAAACAAAGGCCTGGGGGAGGGACAGCAACACTGGTGGGACAACCTGGCAGACACTTCAGCATTAGATTTACACTGTGCCTTCAGCAAATGGGCAAAAGGGGCTTTGGGGGTTTAGTTGTGGGGGATTTTTTGGGGGTGGGGACAGGGGAAGAGGAGGTGAGTTTGTTTTTCTAAATAGAATTTAGAATCTTGATTTTTTGCTCTTAAAACATAAACAGTGTTTGTTTGCTTGCATTACTTTTCATGCAAGATGGTGTTTAAGAATTATTAATTGTTTCAAGTGAGTTCCTCCCTTCAGGTAACCAGACAGACAGGGGTAGGGGGCCTTTTAAATGAAACTTTTCCAGTCAGACACACATGCAGATAAGTAGCAATTCCAGTTCACTTTAAACAAAAATAATAAAATGCCAAAATTATTTCATCATCCTCTGTTTTTATAAATCACAATGTTCAAGCCTTTTGTAAAAGATATTTTACCCACAAAAAGGTTTCTTAAATTTTCCATACTAAAACCAAGCTAGCACTCTGGCACTACCCTATCATCACGCAGGCAGGCTGCGGACAGTCCATTTCTCAGAAACATCAACTCCAAGAAAGCAATTGCTTATCATATTCCTCCTTTACCCATTTATTTGCATTTTGTCTCTGCTGTCAGTTAAGCTAAAGCCTCAAACATAAATATTGGGTTTGCCTTGTCTTTGTTGACTGCTTACAGAATTAGAAGAAAAGAGATAAAAATAAAAATTGAGAAATAAAATAGATATGTCAGTTTTTCTGTGTTCTCGAGTAAAACTCTAAGTTTGAAGCCCTCTTTTAAGCTGTACACCAACTTGGAACAGCAGCACCAAGCACAGATGAATTCTCCAGAAATTAGGATTATAAACCTAAATCTTTTCTCAGCCATTATTATACCTATTTTGGCAAAACAACACATATGCAGTTTCATGAGCAAATAAAGTATTTTTGTCAGTACAACAGCCAAGGCACTGGTTTCCACTACCTGGCTTCCCCTCCCCTCCTCATTCCCTTTTTTTTAAGCCATAACCCACAAACAAAACTAACAAAAACCTCTTTTCAGGTAGGAGAAGGAAGAAACGTCTGGTACATCCGTTTATTAAACTGCTTTAAAGATGAACTTTATAGCATAATTTCTATAGGCAAGTAAAGTTCAATTTAATGTAGCAAACAATTATTTCTTATTCATTTGTATTTTAAAGGATTCATTAAAATATACATGTCCACATGAACAAATAAAAAATAAAATTTCACTGGTCCTTAGTACTTCACAGCTCTTTGTGAACTGCAAAGTACAGCCTGGCACTGTCCTCTTCTCCAGTCCACACCAATCAGTTTTTCATTACACCAAAACAAACCAGATTTTATTAGGCAGCATAAATTACTGCTTAGTGATTAACTTCAAGATATCAGGCTGCCTTTTATTTTTTCTTTAAATTAGTCAGAATTCAAATGCTCAATCTACACTAATTTTTACTCTTCCATCAGTTTCTCACAGGCAGCTACCACAACTTTGGCTACGTTTTCCTTCAAAGAGAAGCATGTAACTGAAGGAACGGAATAAACAAAACCCTGAGAGAAAACTGGTACTAGAGTTGAAAGTAGAGTTTACTAGAAAACCTTCTGCTCAAACACATCACAGCAATTATTAGCTGTTGGGGATTTGGAACAGCTTTTCCCTACAGGTAGGTTAAAGAACAGCTGCCTATTAGAGGATGATACCTTCCCCTGTAGTGGCTGGTAGCAGCTGAATCACACACAGCATAATGGACACAGATTAATCCAATTTAATTTACTAATCGCAATTTAAAATTAAGAAAAAGACATTTTTCAAGTCTAACTTACATACTTGGTCCATAAATCTTCCTAATGGAAGTCATTCATGCTGTTGTGCTTCCTAAGCAACAGCTTGTACTGAGAATGATAACAATCTCATATTGAAGTTTACTAACTGACATCACTGGTATGATGAAACACAGAGTTTATTGTCATTTGCTGTCATGAAAAGACAGAATGACAATACACAGAGAGGGAAGGTCAGACAGCATTATGGAACACCTGTATGTGAGGAAGTGTCCTGACAGCTGTTCCCAAGGGCCATGGAGAGCACAGTAACACTAACCCAGAGAGTGCAAGTTAACCACAGCCCCCACAGTGCACCCCTCCAACAAATACATTTTCCATACTCCAACCTACTTGCCTTACAAGGAGCTGCTGCTGCTCCTGAACAGCCACTGCTCTGCTAGCACAGCACTGCTCCTCCCTGCAAGAGCCCAGGTCTTCCTCCTCCGGGCCAAGGAGATTTGCAGAGCACAAACCTACTTGGTATGAACAAGTGCTAGAAGGTACTGAAGCACAGTTGCTGCAATTCCTCACTTTTCTACTACTTGAAACTTGATGCCACGTGCCAGATACTTTGAAGCATTCTACCCCAAAAATAGCAAAACCAGCTTGGAAAAAATAAAGTCAGACTGCATCCGCTGGCAGTCTGTACACGTATCTGGTTTTGTAAGAGACGAGTCTTCTGGAGATTCATCAGTTACCCTTTTATGAAATGCCTGAGCTGAGCTGGATCCACTTCACTTACTAGTCACCTCCGCTTCCTACATGACTCAGGTTTCATGGGATGAAAGGAATAAGAACCTCAGAAGGGGATAGAAACAAGTGGGAGAACTCAGCCCTTTTGTTAAGGAAGGCTGCAGAGAGGATCCAGTTGCAGCATCAGGAGCTGCACTGAAGTCAGTGTGTTCAAGGAGTAGGAGAATGCACTCTCAGGAAAGGAACAAAGCTACTCACTTAACTGTGAGGCAAAGCAAATGTCATGTCCAGGTCACATCAGTTACAGTTAAGTGAGCAGAAGGACGTGCAGAGGTATTTCTCCCAGTTGGATAGGGGCTGACTTCTTGCGTACCCAAAGGTTATACTGGACTGGTAGCAAAGAACCAATTCCCAAAAGGATCCATTCCCAAGAGCAAAACTACTGTAACAGACTTGTACAATACACCAGTGAGACACAAAAGGCAGTGCTGACCACTAGTTTTGCCATTGTACTAAAAAAGACAAAAATTCAGGGCTAAGGTTGGAATGTACTCAGCACTACAGGATGCAGTGCTCCCAAAGTCTGATTACTCAGACAAGCATTGAGCAATAACCTACAGTAAATATGAATCACCAAGATGCCCACGAGGCCACCTTCCACACAACAGGAACTGCAAATCAGAGATTGACAACAATGTTCTCTGGTCCTTTCTAGAAGGGAGGTGAGCAACTGGAAACACAGGAAGACTAGTGCTGGCGACTGCAGCGGTTAAAGGAAAATCACCCTCTAAGAACAGCAGATGTGGAACCATGTTGCTCAGTACATTAAACAGAAAAGCTAGAGAAGATTGGAAAGACCTCATTAATGCTTGGTGGGTTTGTTTGGGGATTTTTTGTGGTTTGTTTTTTTTCTGGTCACATTTTCAAGTGACCAGATCACACATAACCCAAAGGTTGAAGGAAGCAAAACAACAAAGTGACTCAGTAATAATTCTCTGACTTACAAGCACACTGTGGCACAACTGAAACAGCAGAACTGAACTGGGGGAGAGCTGGCAGGAGGAGAGAAGTTGTAAAGGAGATATTTAAGTAACCCTGTATTTTTTTTTAATGACTAACATTATCGTAGTAATATAAATTATTGGATATGTGCAGAGAATAACAAAACACAGCCAAACATTATGCTGTTTTAATAAAGTGTTGCATCAGAAGGTGTTTACAACGAGTTTCAAAACAAAAATAAATACCAAGAGAGAAGGGGAAAAAAAACCCCATACATTCCAGAACACCTCAAAGACAAGTTTAGGAAGTCTCATAACAAAAGGGGACACAGCTCAGCCAACCATTACATTATTTCCCAAGTAGCAGTTCATTAGCTAAGGCAAAGACAACATTGCTAGAACTTAACCAAGCCTCAACCCAGCCTTTTTGCAAACACTCAAAGTCAGCAAGACATTGACAGGATTTCACTATGCATTATCTACCTTTTAGTGGACAAGGATAACACAATTTCTAAAAGAGCTTACAGTACGAAACAGTACCATGGGCATCCCATGTTTTTCCAGCTCTGAAAAGATACAGCTTTCTACCAGGAAGACACAAGAGGATCACTGCAACTGCCTAATCAGAATAATCACTGCTCTACTAGTTGATGCTGGACAAATGATCTTAAAAGCAAACATGTAATACTTACATAGGTTCAGCTACACAGGGAGTCATTCCACTAGCTCTCACAGCCTCCTTCAGGCTCCCTGGGTTCCACATGGAATGCTGTAAGACAAAAGGACCACACAAATCTTTACATCTTTACAAATCTTTACTGTGAAAACCATAAACGCACCCAATCACTCAGAAGCAACTATGCGTTTAATAAAACCTTTAACAGCCAAAAACTTCTTGTTGGAAGAGTTATTTTAATAACACTAGTTCACTTTTTTTTACTTTGGAA